CAAGCAGATCACATGGCGAGAGGAAGCAAGAGAGAGAGAGAGAGAGAGAGAGAGAGGAGGTGCCAGGGTTCTATAAAGAACAAGCTCTCGTGGGAACTAACAGAGTGAGAACTCACTCATTACTCCCCCCTCCCCAGGGAGAGCATTAATCCATTCATAAGGGATCTGCCCACATGACTCAATCGGTTTCCAACACTGCCACATTGGAGATCAAATTTCCACATGAATTTTGGAGGGGACAACACATCCAAACTCCATCATTTAGTTAGGCTGGTCTCAGATGGTTTATGTGTGCTTTATCTTTCATATTTGGTTAATGAGGTGTAATTTATGAAGCACTTTAACATAGTTGAGCTTATTTGGATCTTAAGGGACTCTGGAGATGTCAAGGGAGGATTCATTATCCTTACCTTGTAGACAAATGGTAATGGTGATCCTACTGATCAGATGCCACAGTTTTACTGTGGAATGATCTTGGAGTACAATCACCAGGAGGTCTTGACCTATATGTTGCTCAGGTGTCACTGTTCATGAAGACAAATGTGCTATTACCTCTAGAATGCTTTTTCACAGTTGTTGGAGACAACATGTTAAATACTCAGCCTCTAGAATTCTCATCTAATACTGTGTCTGGTCTCAAGATCATAAATTGGTTTTGCTGTAAGTCACTTTTTGTCCTTTTTGGTATAATGTATTTAATTCTTGGAGGTGTTGAAAGGATTCAATAAAGCAAAGGATATTAAAAAAAAAAAAAAAGAAGGGAAATGACAACGCAGAGAGGCTAAGAGACTTGGTCAAGATCAATGGCTAGTGAAAGGTAAAGTCTCAATTAGATCTTATTTCCTCCAGCTCCTGGTTAAGAACTCTTTCTGCTAGAGCCTTGCAAGGTACTTCAAGGTACCTTGGTATTCAAAAATGTAATTGATTAGTTGATATTATTACTATTCATACAATATTCCTTCTAATAGAATAAATGCTGAAGGACAGTGGATAGGTTGTAGAATATCCTAGAATGTGTCAAATGAGTAATTTTTGTAACCATTTTTTTTTTCTCAGAATTGCTTAGACGTATCTGTCTCTTGTGATATTCCCTAGCCCTTTGTTGATATTATGCTTATGTCCATTCTTACATCGACCTTATTTTGTAGGTTTCTAGGTAACTTGATTTCCCAGAAACCCCCTATGGTTTTTAACTCTCTGAAAGGAACCATTTCCTCACAGTGCCGATAAATATTTCTCAATACGTACTTATTGAATGAATAAATGAATAAATCTTATAGCACTTTTTCAAGTAAGCATGGTTATGTATTTTGTTATTCTCATATATATATATGAAACAATATTATGTCTATTATAAGCTTAAACCACAAAAAAGAAATGATTTTTCATTTTGTAATGACAAACGAGTTAAATCTTACTATGTTTTAAAATTATATATCCAATGAATATGAAAACCTTAATAATTTAACTAGAGATATCTATGCTTTATGTGTGGCTTATCCTGAACCCCTTGGGGAAAGACTTTATACAGAAACTAAGATTTTTTTGGAAAATCACGTTCGGCATTTGCACAAGGTAAGGAATGATATGAATGAATGAATTGAATATGTTTATATGATATGAATATGTTTACAAGCTTGTATCAGTCTGTTTTGTTGCTTATAACAAAATACTTGAAACTGGGTGATTTATAAAGAAAATGAAATTTATTCCTTACAGTTTCTGAGGCTGAGAAGTCCAAAGTCCGTCTGATGGTGGTGACAGTGACCTAAGGGTCTCACATTGCAAGATGGTGGAAGCAGAGAGAGCAAAAGGCAGACTCTCCTCTTCTTTTAAAGCCCTCAGAACCATGCCCCTGACAGTCATTTTTAATCCGTTCACTACTGCATGGTCCTACAATCCAATCACCTCTTCAAGGCTCCA